AGTATATTTAAGAGTATTTTTCAGGTTAGTAGGCAGTGGTGAAGAGAGCTGCTGGCCAGTGGTAGTGGAGTTTCCAGCAAGGTGAGTTGGTGTACTATGTACACATGATGGTAAGAACGGTGATCAATCCAGCACTGGAACATAGCAGTGATGGGATCTCCAGTTTTCTAAAGTCAAGGAACAACAAGGCAACATAACTATGAAGCATTAAAAAGTCCGAGGACTCAGACCACAACTTTACACCTGAGCACAGCAAACACTCTGGTGCTGAGTCCTTGTGGAGCTGGAGCTTAAATACTCCTACTCCTACTAGGGCCTTGGCTGATCAGCTCCAGACTGAGTACAACTGTGAAGGAGAAGGGCAGACAGCCACATCCACACACAAATACACAAAAACCTGCTAGCCAAGGACACAAAACTAAGGATGTTCGATATGATCTTTTTGCCGATATCCCGATATTGTCCAAACACTTAATTTCCAAATCCAATATTGACCGATATAGGCCTGGTAATCAGTGTGAGTATGAGATTAATTAAATGAGCTTCAATGCTGCCATCTAGTGACCTGCACCTTAATATACAGCTGTTTATCCCCAAAACAATTTTTAGACCATACATCATTTGGCAAAACACAGGTATTGCATCATAGGGTTTGCAGTATCGGAGGAAAAACCGATAACGATTCTTACAGATATCACATAATATGCTAATATCAGGCTTGTTTTGTGTAGGGATGTCCAATAATATCGGCCGACCGATATTATCAGACATCCCTACACAAAACACATGAGCCCAAAAAAACAATACCAAAAATCATGCACATTTATTAATTCTTTGTTGTACATAAACTGCTCGTTCTGAAGCTTCAGTTCATTCACAAAATCAAAAGTTACACAACTCACTGGGCTGGAGTAATAATAAACTCCACACCAGGAACAAGGACCAAGAACATCAGGGCAGGAACACCAAACACAACAGCCAAACACAACAGCCAAACACATACTTTCTGCATATTTCACTCTGCCATTCCTCTTCTAACTTCCCCTAATTTTCCCAAACTTTAACAAAGTATTGTATCTTTGTATACATACTGTATCTCAGAATATTACTTGAACAAAATGTTCTAAAAGTATGAAGAATTAGTCACAAAATAGACTTTATCCACACTGTCAGAAAGTGCATCTTTAATGATGTAAATCTTGTTTTTTTTAGATTAAAAGATGTGATTGTAATTGTTAGGTTCTGCTCATTTTACTGAATTCTCTCTAAGTGTGAGTCAGATCTCTTATGTTCTTTTATGGAGCAACCAGGAGAAGGTTTTTAGGCTTAACTCATATTTATTACAGAATCAGCAAAATAGGCAGTTTCAGAGCTCTGGGTCAGATCTACGCGTCCCTGACAAACAGCATAGGAGTCAGTTCAACTATCTTTCCCAGGTTTTTAAGCGTAACAGAGTTGTGCACGATGAGATGGTCTTGTCCTTCTTCTTGGAGTCATACTCCATCTCTGCGGCTGTTGCTGGGGCCTCCGTCCTGAAACTCACCCATTTCCACTCTTTGTCACACAAATGCTCAGTAGTTTTCCATTCTTGAAGTTTAACATTTATGATGCAATATTTTCACTATTAGTTAATCAGAATATTATAATCATAATAATCATATCTTTACAGATTTTATTCTTGAAAGTGTGGGGAATTTGGTGGTGCGTCAACCTGGTTGGGATAAAGAAGGGAAAGCAGAAAACTTTAAGAACTGCTGGAATAAACTAACAAACAGTGAATCATGTTGATTGGAAATCATTCCATCAGCCTTGGATTAGTTTCTTGGAGTAGTCTGGACTTGAGAATAGATAATAATAGTCTTTTCTTCCAACTGTCTGTCATTCAGTGAACAGTAAACCAATGAGTCCTCTGTCTGAGGAAATGAACAAAAACAATGTTGTTAGGAGCCAAATATTCCCTTTTACAGACATGAGACATGTGAAAATATCTATGATTCTTACCTGCTGACATTGCTGACTACTGTAGACTCCTTCAGCCGACAGTGCTTTAAATAAATCAAAGACAGAATATAGTGATTTCTTAATGCAAAAGTTCACAGTGACAGATTAATAAGAAACTGACCATACCTTGGTGACATTTACACTTTTTCTTCAGAATGAAATAAACAAGGAAGGAAATCACCACCAGACTAATAGTAACTGTAGCAGCCAAGATATATTGAAGAGTATTTGACTTTTGTTGAAGCAGGACAAGTTCTGAAATAAAAGAGAATAACATGTAAATGATGATCGGGAGAAAAACATATTTCAATCCAGGTTATAAAATATAGACATCTGCAACAATGTAACATCATCCAAATGTGGTTCCAAAGTGCAGCAGTTAGCTCGCCTCCCTCAGGAGCAGAGGTTGGGTTTGATTCCCAGAGGATCCACATTATTAATGTTAATCTTTTTCTGTAAGTCACTTTGGATAAAATCGTCTGCTATATGCATCAATTCAAATGACTACTGAAATACTACTAATTT